GGAGGGTTGTGAGGGCATCACTTACTGTCCTCAAGTCAGTCACTTCCCCAAACACTGTGCCCTTCTCACACGGAAGCACACGTTCACGCCTGGCGTGTGTGTGACGATCGCACTGCCAGCCGCCAGCCGCAGATGGTTCAGTGACAACACTCCAGAGTCCTTTCTGCTTTGAGACTATCCCTCTGTTAAGATTGTTTTCCTTGGCAATGCCTGAGTGTAAAGGAAAGCGCCTCGTGGTGCTGGTGAGTGGCCGGCCAGAGCTTTTCACACAGGAGGACAGAGTTGGCTCTTCTTAAAGCCTGACTTAGAAGTGAGCAGGGTTCCCTGTGGGTGAACGCTGCCATGTGACGGCCTTTTCCTCCCTCCGTTCTCCTGTTCCACCTCGGAGCTCGCACCTATTCTGCTTTGCTTGTGTGTTTCATCTGTGTGTTTGGAAAGATGGAAGCTTGAATGGAAATTGTCAGAAACGTTACGTTGTGCAAAGGGGCTGGAAAAGCTGGTTAGCATCGTCTGAAGCCAGCAAGGACCCACATGTGGAGCACTGGCCAGCTCTGAGTTAGGCGGGGGTGTTGCAGAAGAAGGAACTTGTTTTCTTTTTTTGAGGCAGACTTGCTCTGTCACCCAGGCTGGAGTGCAGTGGCATGATCCCAGCTCACTGCACCCTCCGCCTCCCAGGTTCAAGTGACTGTCCTGCCTCAGCCTCCCGAGTAGCTGGGATTACAGGCGCCCACCACCACACCCAGATAATTTTTGTATTTTTAGTAGAGACGGGGTTTCACCATATTGGTCAGGCTGGTCTCCATCTCCTGACCTCAGGTGATCCACGCGCCTCGGCCTCCCAAAGTGCTGAGATTACAGGCGTGAGTCACGGTGCCCAGCCTATGTCTGCTATAATATTAAATATAGAAAAACAGGCTTCAGAACCATATAAGACCATGTGCTGCATAATGGCGTTTGAGTCCATGACTGACCGCAGGGAGGAGGCTGGTCCCCTCAGGTAGTAACATTGTGTTTCTCCTGTACCTTCTCTGTGTTCGGAAACAAATGCTCACCGTCTGCTGCAGTTTCTGCGTGTAGAGTGCAGTCACCTTGCTGCACAGGTCCGTAGCCTGGGAGCCTCACAGGCATCGCACAGCCCGGTGTTGCCCAGCCCAGCAGCCCGGGTGTTGCCCAGCCCATCAGCACAGGCATCGCACAGCCCAGGCATCGCCCAGCCCGGGCGTGTAGGAGGCTGCGCCATCCAGGCTTGTGTGTGTCACTGTAGGACATTCACATGGCGACCAAATCACCCAGCGACGTGTTTCCCAGAACACACCCCACTGTTCAGCAGCACTTGACCGTACCCAGAACTAGCGGTCCCCTGCCTTTTCACCAGGGACTGGTTTTGTGGAAGACAATTTTTCCATGGGTGGGGCGGGGAGCAGGGTGGTTTCAGGATGAAATTGTTCTCCCTCAGATCATGAGGCGTTTGGTTCTCATACGGAGCGCGTAACCCAGATCCCTCGCACTCACAGTTCACAGGAGGGTTTGTCCTCCCCTGAGAACCTCATGCCGCCACTGATCTGACAGGAGGTAGAGCTCAGGCAGTCACGCTCCTTCACCATCTGCTTACCTCCTGCTGTGGAACCCAGTTCCTAACAGGCCTCAAACCAGTCCCGGCCTGTGTCCAGGCCATGGGTACCCCTGCCCAGCACCGGCCAGTGTTTCTTTGGAAACACCCACAGGCCCAGGTGCCCACAAAGCTCTGTTCAGCTGTCAGCGGACCCCTCCCTGGCTGTTCTTGGTCACACATCCCTCATTTTGCAAACTTTCCAGAGTGGATCATCATCAGGAAGAAAGGTGCAGCCAGGCTTGGTGGCGCATGCCTGTAATATTGAGGTCAGGAGTTCAAGACCAGGCTGGCCAACATGGTGAAACCCCATCTCTACTAAAAATACAAAACTTAGCCAGATGTGGTGGCGTGCACCTGTAGTACCAGCTACTCAGGAGGCTGAGACATGAGAATGGAGAATTGCTCAAACTCAGGAGGCGAACGTTTCCATGAGCCAAGATGGTGCCACTGCACTCCAGCCTGAGTGGCAGAGTGAGATGCTTTCTCTAAAAATAGAAAAAGACCCTTTAAATCCTGACGTGTCATGGTTTCATTTCTATCTTTACAGTTGCTCTGAATTTTTTATTTTTTGTTGTTTATTTTTTTCGAGATGGAGTCTCGCTCTGTTGCCCAGGCTGGAGTGCAGTGCCGTGATCTTGGCTCACTGCAAGCTCCGCCTCCTGGGTTCAAGCGATTCGCCTGCCTCAGCCTCCGAGTAGCTGGGATTACAGGCATCCGCCACCACACCCAGCTTATTTTTTCTATTTTTAGTAGAGACGGGGTTTCACCATGTTGGTCAGGCTGGTCTTGGTCTCCTGACCTTAGGTGATCCACCCGCCTTGGCCTCACAATGTGCTGGGATTACAGGCATGAGCCACCGTGCCCGGCCTGAATTTTTAAGATCAAAATCTTTTCATCAATCCCTGAAGGCTTTTGTGTAAAAATCGATAAACTGATTGTGAAATTCTTGTGGGCGTGCAAAGGACCCACAGCCGCCGAAACACTGGGGAGGAGTGAGGCTGAATGGCAGCAGTGCCTGGGTGCAGGACTCACAGAACCACAGTCAGGGGCTGCGTGGTGTTGGCTTTCAGACCAATGAGCGGAACGAGAGTCCAGAAACAGGCGCCCGCATGCAGACCACTGACTTGATGAAGGCTCAAAGACCATTTAATGGAGTCTTTTAATAAGGGTACTGTAATGATAGGATTACTCACATGCCAGAAAGTGAACTGGGAGTGAAAAACCTACCCCGGTTGTGTCAGGGGCCTGAAGGTAAAGCCCAGAACCGCAGAGCTAGGACGAAGCCTTCATGACCGCAGGCCGGGCCACGCTTCCCTGGATACGTCCTCAGAAGACTGCAGGGTGACGACGAAGCCTTTGTGACCGCGGGCTGGGCCACACTTCCCTGGATACGTTCTCAGAAGAACAGAGCTAGGATGAAGCCTTAGTGACCACGGGCCGGGCCACGCTTCCCTGGGTGCGTCCTCAAAAGCACGCTCTGTAATAGGGCAAGGCAATGTGCTGGACTTCACCAAAATGAACACTTCTGCTCTTTCAAAGGCCTGTTGAGAAAACAAAAAGACAAACCAAAGACTGAGATGTTTGGAGATGATGTATGTAGGGATTTGTCTCCAGAGTACAGAAAGAGCTCTTGAAACTCAGTAGGAAAACAATCCAGTTTTTTGTTTTTATTTATTTTTTTTTTGAGACGGAGTCTCGCTCTGTCGCCCAGGCTGGAGTGCAGTGGCCAGATCTCAGCTCACTGCAAGCTCCGCCTCCCGGGTTCACGCCATTCTCCTGCCTCAGCCTCCCAAGTAGCTGGGACTACAGGTGCCTGCCACCTCGCCCGGCTAGTTTTTTGTACTTTTTAGTAGAGACGGGGTTTCACCGTATTAACCAGGATGGTCTGTGATCCAGTGTGAGTCCCTCGGTGCAGAGGGGCCCGAAGTGCTGGGATTACAGACGTGAGCCACCGCGCCCGGCCAACAATCCAGTTTTTTAAATGGGCAGAAAACAATTTGGAAAGACCCTTCACCAGGGAAGATAACACAGGTGGCAAACAAGCCCGTGAAGAAGATGCTCAGTGTGGTTAGTCATCAGGGAATGCAGAGGAAAACCACACGGAAACGCCGCTGTGCCTCTCAGACGGGTCTCAATTCAAGACTGAGCGTACCGCATGCCACTGAGAATGGGAAGGAGCACGGACTGGCTCAAACACTTTAGAAAATAGTTTCTAAAACAGTTAAACACATGCACCTTCCCTGTGACCCAGCCCTTCCACAGCTGGTATTTGCCCTGGCACAGTGAAAGCACAGGCCACACAAACTTGCTCTGGACACCATTCAAGTGCTGCTCTGCAGAAGAGCGGACAGCAAACTGGCATCTCCCCAGAACAGGCCACTTCCCAGCTTCAGAAAGGAGCAGGCACGGGCAGACCTCAGAAAACCACGCAGAGCGAAAGAAGCAGAGAAGAGAGTGAATGACAGGCTTCCACTTGTGCCAAGCTCTGCAAGAAAGTGCAGCCCGGTCACGGGACAGAAAGCAGATCCGGGGGTGCCGGGGCGCCGTGGGGGCCGCACTGCAGAGGAGCAGAGGAAGCCGGGCGAAGGACGTGGCCATCACCCCCACCGTGGTGATGGCTTCGCAGGCGTGTCTCTCTGATCATACACGTCAGCACGTGTGGCGAGTGTGTTGCTTGCATCTCTGTGTGGCTCTAAATGTTTTGTTTTGTTTCTTGGGATAGGGTCTCTGTCACCCAGGCTGAGTGCTGGGGCGCAGTCCTCCCACCTCAGCCTCCTGAGTAGCTGGGACCACAGGCATGCACCATGGCGCCTGGCTCATCTTCCTTTTTTGTATTTTTAGTAGAGACGGGGTTTCACCGTGTTAGCCAGGATGGTCTCAATCTCCTGACCTCGTGATCCGCCCACCTCGGCCTCCCGAAGTGCTGGGATTACAGACGTGAGCCACCGCGCCCGGCCCATCTTCCTGTTTTTTATAGAAGACGGGGTTTCACCGTGTTAGCCAGGATGGTCTCGATCTCCTGACCTCGTGATCCGCCCACCTCGGCCTCCCGAAGTGCTGGGATTACAGACGTGAGCCACCGCGCCCGGCCCATCTTCCTGTTTTTTATAGAGGTGGGGTCTTTGCCATGTTGCCCAGGCTGGTCTTGAATTCCTGGGCTCTAGTGATCCACCTGTCTTGGCCTCCACAATGCTAGGACTGCAGCCGTGCACCGCCTATGTGAATGTTCTGAATGAAAGGGGCATTTGGCAGCTTTGCGTCCACCCCGAGACTTGTTTTGAAATGGTGAGTTCGAAACTCACAGGTGTCCCTTAAATGTGACATGCAGTAACTTCAGTTGTTGAGATTTTGCTTGTGCATTTCTTGTTTTTTCTCTTTTTCGTTCCAGAGCATCGCCCTGTGCTGGGCTGCCGGGAGCTCGTCTTCAGGAACCTCTCCAAGATCCTCCCTGCCCTGTGCCACGACATCACAGACTGGGTGGTGGGCACCCGAGTGAAGTCGGCCCAGCTGCTGCCAGTGCTGCTGCTGCACGCCGAGGACCACGCCACGCAGCACCTGGAGATCGTCCTCCGGACCCTGTTCCAGGCCTGCACCGACGAGGAGGCAGCCGTGGTCCACAGCGTGAGTGGCCGCGGAGCTCTAACTCGAGCTTAAGATCCCACCTCTGTGGTGTGCGGGGCCCGAGGCTGTGACAGACACAGTTGGGAGGCCACCCTGCAGCCAAGACAGCGTTCCCCTAACCCCCAGGCTGCAGCCCCTCCCCAGGCCCGGCCCCTGGGAACCACCGGTCTGTTTTCTGTACCTGTAGGGAACAACGTGTTGAGGGTGAACCCTCCATGCTGGTCTTCAAGCACACTCGGGCGCAGTGCCGGGTGCGTGTTGTGTAAACGTGCGCCAGACAGGGACCAGGCTGCTGACTGAGGACCGAGATGCCCAGAGTTCAGCATTGACATCCGGGCTGTCCTCAGACGCCTTCCAGGCCTCACAGGGGCTGTGGGGGCACCCGGCGGCGGGGAGGGCACAGCCTCAGGTGTCCTGTGAGTGGCATCCGTGGTGCCATCCTCTTTCTCACTCCCTGTCTGCACTCGGCTGGTGGTTATCGCCTCGGCAACAGTGGGTACGCACAAGGGGGTCCCATGCTCGGGCCACTCCTGCTCACCAGGCTGGGCCACGGTCTGTGCTGACAGTCACCACTGTGGGGACTTCACACCCGCCCCACAAGGACACTTCCTAGTGCTCAGGAGAACAACTAAAGCTTTGACTTGAGGTTTCAGTTCAAAATATCCTCATCTTGAACCTTAAATTCCATTGCAAGGAGGCCTTGCCAGTAGCTTTTACTTTTAGTGGTCCAGGTCACTGTTACTAGCTGTGCGTCATGGCGTGCACCTGTGGTTCCAGCTATGGGGAGGCTGAGATGGGAGGATCACCTGAGCCCGGGAGGTCAAAGCTGCAGTGAGCTATGATAGCACCACTACTCTCCAGCCTGGGCGACGGAGTGAGACACTGTCTCAGATAAAACAAAAAAAATCTACATCATTGTGACTGATTTAAAGTAAATGTTCCAGTTTCCATGTTATTTACATGTCATGTTTCTACTTTTCAAAAACTACCATGAATTTAAAATTATCTGTAGTCCTCTGTGGAATCTATGGGAGAGCAAGAGACACTGGGCGAGGCTGAGGCAGGACAGGAGACGTGTGTGTGATCCACTGTACAGTCCCACGGTGCAGAGGGGCTGGTGTGTGTGATCTGCTGTGAGTCCCACGGTGTAGAGGGGCTGGTGTGTGTGATCCAGTGTGAGTCCCTCGGTGCAGAGGGGCTGGTGTGTGTGATCCAGTGTGAGTCCCTCGGTGCAGAGGGGCTGGTGTGTGTGATCTGCTGTGAGTCCCACGGTGTAGAGGGGCTGGTGTGTGTGATCCAGTGTGAGTCCCTCGGTGCAGAGGGGCTGGTGTGTGTGATCCAGTGTGAGTCCCTCGGTGCAGAGGGGCTGGTGTGTGTGATCCGCTTAGCGATGGGAAGGTTGGGTCACTGGCATCCGATGAGGGGCATGCAGTGAACCCCGCAGCTCAGACACAGCCTTCCTTTGGGCCAGACTTCGCTGCCTGCGGGGTGTGTCCAGCTCACTGGCTGCAAGCCTGGCCTTGGGGACATTCTGAGATCACACGAGGACTCTTGTACCTTTCCTGAGGGCTCTGAGCAGGTGCCAAGGACTCACTCGGCCTAACACGGGGCTGTCTGGGGACCACAGTGCCGAGAGCGGGAGCCTGGCTGAGACCCTCGGGTTTGGCTCTGAGTTCTCGTGTTTGTTTCTCGCAGTGGGAGCCAGGCTGAGACCCTCGGTTTGGCTCTGAGTTCTCGTGTTTGTTTCTCGCAGTGGGAGCCCGGCTGAGACCCTCGGTTTGGCTCTGAGTTGTCGTGTTTGTTTCTCGCAGTGTACGAGATCCGCAGAGCTCGTCGGGACATTTGTCAGCCCTGAGGTGTTTCTGAAGTTGATCTTATCGACGCTGAAGAAGGCGCCCTCCGCCTCCGGCCTCCTGGTGCTGGCCTCCGCCATGCGGGGTTGCCCCCGAGAAGCCCTCCAGCCGCACCTGGTAGCCATCGCCACGGAGCTGGCACAGGCCCACATCTGCCAGGCGTCTGAAAACGTAAGAGCACTTGGGAAAGGGGTAAGTGGAGAAGAGGAGCCTCCCCTGCCTGGCCGTCTGCCATCGTAATGACATGTTTGTGGGTCCACCCCGTGCTGCCAGTCCGGGCTGTCAGAAACACCCAGTGATGTGTCTGTGGGTCCGCCCTGTGCCGCCAGGCCGGGCCATCAGAAACACCTGTGGTAGCTGGGGTGCCCTCGCTGGTACCCCTTGTTCCAGGGCCTCGTCCTGCACTGTGCAGAGCTCCAGCCCCAGCCCCAGCTCCAGCCCCAGGCAGCTGCTCACATTTACATTGGTTGCTGCACATTTCTTGGCCACACTGGCCACAGTTCTGGCCACGGTTCACGTGTTCAATGACTCAGGAGGTGTCCACGGCGGGGACCGCTGGCCCGTGCTGCTGGGGGTAGATGCGGGGTCTGCATCGTCCCACCCCTGAGGAGCGTGGTCGCATGTCCGCCATCCCACCCAATCCCCACGCGCCATCCCACCCAGTCCCCACGCTCCATCCCACCCAGTCCCCACGCTCCATCCCACCCAGTCCCCACGCGCCATCCCACCCAGTCCCCACGCGCCATGCCACCCAGTCCCCACGGTACCTGCACAGATCGCGCGTCCTCGGGGGCGCCGGCAGCCTGTTCCCCATCAGCCCTGCCTGGCGTTCCAATCTGTGCTTCACACAGCCCAGCTGAGGATTTGCCAGAGACGTTTGTTTAATTTTAAATTGAGCAGCAAATCCTTGAGCTCAGAAGCTGGAACAGCCTGGGTAGTTGGACTTAATTGTTTGGAATAATCCATAATTGTTTTCTATGGAAGAAGAAGTGATGACTTTGCTTTGGTTTGGAGGCGAGTCGTCCCTGTCTGTGTGTGTCGGACCCAGCACCCCAGATCTTTCTAGGACACAGGGCGGCCCCCACCGGCTGGCCGTCCCATGCAGGGCAGACCTCAGCTCGCCCCTGGAGGCCAGCACTTGCTCCGGCTTGATCATTTCTGGCAGCTTCTATGGCCCCAAAGCTGGCCTGGGGCATGGGGACTTGCCCTCTGCTCTCAGCCCAGCCTGTCCTGTGTCCGGCTCCCTCTCTGTCCTCAGAACGAGAGGTGGGGCTATTAACAGTCATTATTGTGAACTGTTTTAAGAAACCTGTAAGCAGTTCCTGGAATACACAGAGGGAAGGAAACAGAGCTGGGGTCAGGAAGGGAGCGGGGGAGGGAGCCGGACCATGTACTCATGGCGCTTCAGCCACGTTCTAGCTTTTCCCAAAACCTGTTTTTAACACATCATCCAATCTGTGTCAGTTCTGCGCTTTCCTTTACTCACAAGGGGTTGTGATGATCGCTTTGATTTCTGTATATAGATTTGCAAGCCAGAAGCATTTTTCCCTAGAAGGGCATAACTTGAAAATGTGTACAGGTGCCTAAATCCGTATCTCACAAACTTTATAGCAAAGAACGTGAAGTTTTCACGTCTCCATGTTGGTTACAGGAAAACGGAATTGTGTTGTCCCGCAGTTGTGTGTTTGGCTCCCCATCTTCCAGTTTTATCGAGGAAAAATTTGCTCACGATCTTTCAAACAGAGACCTCTTTCTGACAAAGCCCAGTCACACAGCACCCCTGGGGAGCCAGCCTCAACCTTCCAGGCTGCGAACGTGTGTGGCCCTTTGGCCAAGGAGCCAGTCACAGTGAACACCCAAGATGTACATTTCACTCCTTCCTTGTTTTCATTTTTTTGTTTCAGAGTGATCCTCCCACCTCAGCCTCCTGAGCCGCTGGGACTATGGTTGTGCACCACCACGCCAGGATAATTTGTTTATTATTTATTTTTATTTATTTACTTTTTGGGACAGAGTTTTTCTCTGTCGCCCAGGCTGGAGTGCAGTGGCACAGTCTCAGCTCACTGCAATCTCCTCCTCCCGGGTTCAAGCAATTCTCCTGCCTCAGCCTCCCAAGTAGCCGGGATTATAGGCGCCCGCCACCACACCCGGCTAATTTTTGTGTTTTTATTAGAGACGGGGTTTCACCGTGTTGGCCAGGCTGGTCTCGAACTCCTGACTTCAAGTGATCCGCCCACCTCGGCCTCCCAAAGTGGTGGGATTACAGGCGTGAGCCACCACGCGTGGCCCCATTTTACTCCTTAGCAGACTTAAATTCTTGGCAAGAAAGGGTGAATGCACTTAGGTCTCCGTCAGAGTCAGGCCCACAGCTCTGTGCTCTTCCCGAGGCTGGCTGGGCTTTGTTTGTGTCATTCAGGAAGTCGATTATGTTTCCCGCAATTATTCTCCAGTAGCTATGAGAACAGGTTAAAAATGTCTTTCAAGAACAAACTGAAATTGTTTTAAAAGCCCATGTTCAAACAGAAGTCCGTGAAGATGTATTCTAAACTGAGCCTGGCTTCAACCCCCTGCCCTGGGATTCACAGGAAATGGTTTTAGCAGTAGGTACTTCCAGGTGTCTTGGGCCCAGCAGCGCCCCTGGAGCTCGACAGAGGGGAACTGGAGTCTCCTGGGAGGGAGTTTAGGACAGGTGGGCGCCTAGAGTGAGGAAATGGGTAACTCACCAATTCGCTTCTCACGCAGGGAAGCCGGCAGTTCTGGGATGCCATTGCCATTGTTGAAACAGGAGTCTCTTGTGCTTTCTGAATTAAAAACTTTCCAATCTTAGATAACATTGTTTCAGAAAACAATGTTTGAAATACTCTTTCAAGAAATACTGAGAATTATTTCTTGCTGTATCTTTTTTCTTATTCTCTGTGTGTGTGTGTGTGTGTGTGTGTGTGTGTATGTAGGCAGACACTGAAAATCGTCAGGTCAAATATAGAGGAATCTGTAAATGTGAAGTCTTGTCAGTTCCTCCGAAACGGTGCTGCATTTGTGGCAGGAGGGTGGCACTTGCTGCACAGGATGCCTGCTTCCCCGTTTGTTCCCGTGCTCGGAGGCGCAGTCAGCCAGGAGGGGCCGTGTCTTCTAAATGCACCTTCCCTTTTTAACCGAAAAGATGGTAGCTCCTGAAATGTACATGACAGGCCATTCTAGAAAGCAGCCAGATAGTGTCCTCAGAAGTTAGCCAGTCAGTGCGGGCCTCGGAGAAATGGCTGCGGGAAAAGTCAGGAATGGAATAAAAACAGAAATCGGTGGCTTCTGTGGGAGTTGGGGCCACGACAGGGCCACTCTGCTCCACCAGCTCCAAGGTAGACGGCGCCACGCAGCTCTGCCAGCTCCAAGGTGGACGGGGCCGCGCAGCTCCGTGTCTTCTGTGGGCCAGAGCGGGGCCACGCAGCTCCGCCAGCTCCGAGGTGGACGGGGCCACGCAGCTCCGTGTCTTCTGTGGGCCAGGGCGGGGCCGGGGTGCAAGGACGGCGCTGTCATATAGCGGGAGTGTTTTGTTTGGCATTTCGTGATTTACATCAGTGGGGAATGGGGCTTAGAGTTTTGTAACTGATTAGGAAATTTAGAGCCAACCTATTGTCTAGCCAAATAATTACCAAACTTTTTTGAACTCACACCCCCATTAGTAAGAAGCAGTTTAAACATAAGTCTCCAATATATGTACACTGTTGATAAATCACGTTTAAATTACATACATGACCACTGTCCTAACTCACTCTGTACTTTATGAAACATACATCAAATAGACATTAGAGGGATATTATAAGAAGTAAATACAGGCCAGGCGTGGTGGTTCTTATCTGTAATCCCAGCCCTTTGGGAGGCCACGGCAGGAGGATCACTTAAGCCTAGGAGTTTGAGGCTGCAGTGAGCCACAGCTGCACCACTGCACTCCAGCCTGGGCAACAAAGCAAGACCCTGTCTCTGAAAAATAAGCTAAAATTTATTTAGAAAGAAGTAAGCATACACAAAGCCGTAGGAATTCTTGGGTCCAGCACATGGCCACTGTGTTGCGGGCTTCAGATCCTGGCTGATTGACAGCGGATGAGGCTGGAGCTGGGAGGGGAAGCCTTCAACCAGCGCAGCCTTAGGTGCAGAGCTGAGATTCCACCTCCCCATCAATCAGGAAACACTTTAAACCATAGAATTTTGTCTTTGTTAAAACTTGGTATTATAGAAATATCCAAAAATGCACGGAAGAGGGGCAGGTGGCAGAGCGAAGATCCGCTAGCTTCAGTGCTGGCCAGCCCTTTGCATTCATGTTCTGCCTGCCTGGGGCCACTTTGGAGGGCGGGGAGAACTCGGGCGTGTTAAAAAGCAGATAATGCAATGCGCCGTCATTTCTCTCTCAGGTACCGTGGTGTGCATCCCTAATGTGGCTTCTTCACCACATAGCTGAAGTGCCTGTTCCCATTTCACAAAATAAGCACAGATTCCTTAGCTCCCGGTCTGTGTTGAGTTTTCCCGTCGTCAAGCACGTCCTTCTGTGGTTGACGCGCCAGCACCTGGGGGCTGTCCCTGCGAGGGCTCTCCCATGCCCGCTGCCCCTTGTGAGCCATAGACTAGGAGCCCCGGGCGGGTTCTGTCAGCCCTGGGGCTGGGGCCAGGGCAGGAGCCCTGTATTAGTCCATTCTTATGCTGCTAATAAAGACCTACCAGAGACTAGGTAGTTTATAACGAAAAGAGGTTTCATGGACTCAGAGTTCCACATGGCTGGGGAGGCCTCACAATCACGGCAGCAGGCGAAGGAAGAGCAAAGTCACGTCTTCCATGGCGGCAGCAAGGGAGTGTGTGCAGGTTACTGCCCTTCATAAAACCATCAGCTCTCGTGAGACTACCATGAGAACAGCACAGAAAATCCCACCCCCATGATTCGATTCCCTCCCACAGGGTTCCTCCCAGAACACGTGGGGATTATGGGAGCTGCAGTTCAAGATAGGATTCAGGTGAGGACACAGCCAAACTGTACCAAGCCCTGACGGTGCCACCGGTCTCTTCCAGGACCTCTACCTGGAGCGCCTGCTGCTGTGTGTGCAGACTCTGGTGTCTGTGTGTCGTGAGGACTGCGGCGTGGGCAGCCTGCAGCTCATGGACGTGCTGCTGACAGTAGTGGCCCTTGCAAGTGCCACCGGCCTGAGGGACAAGGTAAGGCTGACGGTGGTGGCTGCTGCTTGGCCTCGTGGAGCTCACAGCTGGAAGGCATCTCTTAAGTGAGGGGAACTGTCTCCCACGCATCCCCTCTGCGCGCAAGCCCCAGGCCTCAAACCTGTCTGACCAGCAAAGACCAGGGATTGAGAACCTTGCGGGTCAGTCCCCAGGTAACAACCTTCGGGCAACCCTCCGGCTGCCAGTGTATTCCGGCATCAGGGAGTGGAAACCGCTGTTTAATTTTAGGGTCCACAGCAAAGAAGCAAACAAGAAATAAGACATCACCTTTAAACCTGCGCACCTGAGTGGGGTTTAATAGAGCAGGTGTCGCCGTGCACATCCCAGCACATCGGGAGACTGAGGCGAGTGGGTCACCTGAGGTCAGGAGTTCGAGACCATCCTGGCCAACGTGGTGAAACCCCGTCTCTACTGAAAATACAAAAAATTAGCTGGGCGTGGTGGCCAGCGCCTGTAATCCCAGCTACTCAGGAGGCTGAGGCAGGAGAATCACTTCAACTGGGGAAGCAGAGGTTGCAGTGAGCCGAGATTGTACCATTGCACTCCAGCCTGGGCTGGGCAACAGAGCGAGACTCCGTCTCAAAAAAAAGAAAAATAGTGCATGTGTGACTGTGAGTCTAGACAGAAGATACCACGATTTCCCACTCTAATTGCAGCGCAGTGTTCAGAATTAGTTCTCGCCCATGGGCTCCCTGTTTATGCCCAAAAATCATCTTTTTTTTCAGTGGAGTCTCTGTCGCCCAGGCTGGAGTGCAGTGGCACGATCTCGGCTCATTGCAACTTCCGCCTCCTGGGTTCAAGGCACTCTCCTGCCTCAGCCAACTGAATAGCTGGGATTACAGGTGCTCGCCACCACACCCAGCTAATTTTTGTATTTTTAGTAGAGACAAGGTTTTGCCGTGTTGGCCAGGTTGGTCTCAAGGTCCTGACCCCAGGTGATCCACCTGTCTTAGCCTCCCAAAGGGCTAGGATCATAGGCATGAGCCACCGTGCCCAGCCATTATGCACAAAAGTCTTTTAACCCCAACCTCCTTGTGGGCTCCTCGGGCCCCTGGAGGCCACAGTGTCTGTCTGCCTCTCTGGAAGCTGAGACTTAGTTCTTCTTCCTGTTCTGTCTCTGTGGACAGCCCGTCTCGGCAGGTTCTCTCTGATCTGGGAGATTCACGGTCTGAACGTACCACGGGGAACCTGGTGTGGAGGAGGCTGCTGCTCTCGCCTCCCTTCTTGGGGCCTCTTTAAAAACAAGCTTTCCAAGGGGCGTGTGTCTCAGCAGACGCTGTCACTGATAGGGCATTAGATACCAGCGAAAGCAAAGTCTTTGCCTGCTGGCCATGGGGGAGGAAGCCAGGCAGCCCCAGATTCAGACTCCAGGCCTGAGGCAGTGGCCATCAGGGAGCCTCAGCCCTTCCTCTGTTCCTAAGCCCCCAAGGAGAGCATCCAGCTAAAAGTAAAAGGCAGCCAAGGTTATCATCTCTCTCTGCCCCGTTTTACCTGGAGGTCTGGTCTGCTGGGCTTAACTCTTTAAGCCACTTGCCCGTCTGTCTCTGCCCCTCACTGCCTCAGAGGAGCCCTGCCTGTCTGAGGGGACACCCAGGGTCCGTGGGAGCCCCGGGACCACCTGTGCTGCGTGCGTCCCAGTGTGCACAGTGCCTGCCCAGGCAGACGCCCAGGGTCCGTGTGAGCCCCGGGACCACCCGTGCTGTGTGCGTCCCAGTGTGCACAGTGCTTGCTTCATGATTTGCTGCAGAGACGCAAATCTCTGGTGTTGGCGTGAATGGGATCAGGGTCTCACCCTACGCCCGTGGCTCTCACTCTCCTGCACCCTGGTCAGGGCTCCCTGTGGCAGCCTCCCTCCCGGTTATCCCGGCAGGCCCGGCCTGTGTGGTTCTTACGCGTGAGGGGGATGGTGAGTCCCGGCAGGCAGGCTTGAGCCCTGAGTGTTGGAATTGTCTCAGCCTCTGACTTGTAACCTCCAGGCACAGGAGACGATGGACTTGCTGGCCAGAGCGGAGGGTGTCAGTGGCTGCCAGGACCTCTATCGCAAGCACATGGGTCCCCTCCTGGAAAGGGTAACTGCGTCGCACCTCGACTGGACAGCACACTCGCCAGAGCTCCTGCAGTTCAGTGTCATCATCACGCAGTCAGGTGAGCCGTCCCAGCAGGTGGTGAGCCGTGCCTGGCCCCGCCCAGGCCACGCACCTGCTCCCCCGGGTGCTCAGCAGGTACCAGCACCGACCAGCTGAGCTGTGATTCACTGAGGCGTGTTTTTAAAAGTACCCAGTAGTCACTCTTGCCTGTGGAGAACCAGCATTTTAAGGAGCATCGCGTTGAAGACTGTGGGATGCAGCTCTTCCACTTGGCCCGGGCACACGCTTTCATGTGAAACCTTCAAAGTGTGCTTCTCCGTGGCCTGTTTTGTAGCCTGGCTTCTTAAATACGTCTGGATTTTGTTGCAGAATGTAGTTGTCTGGCCACATGGGTGCTGTGTGTGTGACGTGGGGGCCTTGGCCCAGCCCCTCTGAGACCAGAATTTCTGCGGTTCTCTTTGAGTCCGCAAATCGGCCACTTTCCTGGGATGGACAGTGTGGCCCAGTGGGCTTCAGTGTGGGGCAAGATCTGCTGCAGAACTCTAAGGAGGCGTCCGTTCAGCAGCCATAGAGCCTTGGGACACACAGCCCGTGCTGCTCCGTGGGCCATGAACTCACCGCGGTAGCTTTTCGTCGTTTGCCTCCCCAGCTCTCCCGCTCCCCTGTGCAGTTCCAAGTGCCCCCGCCTCCTGTTGGATGTGTGCACCAGGGCGGTCATGCTCTGCATCTGAGGACACTAAGATCGTTCTTATGCAATCTCTGTGCCTGGTAGGGACTCACCATTTTTTTCTGAGACCCGGAAAAATATCCAGATTTGTTCTTTGTCAGCTGTATTCAAAACTGTTTCCAAATTAGAAAAGAAAATACTAGCTGGGCATGGTGGCTCACACCTGTAATCCCAGCACTTTGGGAGGCTGAGGTGGGAGGATCACTTGAGCTCAGGAGTTTGAGACCAGCCTGGCCAACATGGCAAGGCCTCATCTCTCCAAAAAGATGAAGAAAAAAACTGCACGTGTACTTCTGAATGTAAAATTTAAAAATAATAAAATACAGTTAGCCAGGCGTGGTGATGCGCGCCTATGGTCCCAGCTACTCAGGAAGCTGAAGTGGGAGGATCGCTTGAGCCCAGGAGTTCGAGGCTTCAGTGAGCTGTGACTGCACCACTGCACTCCAGCCTGGGCAACAGAGCAAGCCATGTCTCTAAAACAAAAAAAAAAACAAAGCTGGCGATTGCTGACGTGCACTCGGGGCATTAAACACTTTATGCCAGACGCTGCTCTGCAAGCCTTATGGCCGTCGGCTCGTCTACCCTCACAGCTGGCCTGTGTGGTGGGAACTGTGACCCCGTTTCACAGACAAGGAGGCAGAGCACAGAGAGCTCCCGAGGCAGCGACTTCAGGGCCTCCCTCAGCCTCTCTCCCACGGGCCTCCTGGGGATGGGGGCCCAGGGTATTCCATTTCAGATTTTTACTGAATGTTACTTCTAACGACCTCTTGCACCAAATTACTGCAGCCTTCACCTCACAGTCCAGAAAATTGGGCACGCAAACCCCAAGAGACTCAGCTTGCAGTGAAGCCAGGACTCGCATTTACTGCAGCTCTGGTGGCTTCTCCACCCTCTGCTCTTCCTCTTTGCAGAAGCATTTCTTAAGGTGCTGGCGGAACTGATTGGCAGCTTAGAACACGCATCTTTTTGGACCCACATCTGTCATTCGCTGAAAGGCGGAAAGACTGCAGTGTGCTGTTCAATGTCAAGAGTTGGGTATAAAACTGCGTGGGGTTTTTTTGTGTTTTTTTGTTTGTTTGTTTGGGACAGGGTCTCACTCTGTCACCCAGGCTGGCTGGAGTGCAGTGGTGCGATCACAGCTCACTGTAGCCTCGAACTTCCGGGCTCAAGGGATTTTTCTGCCTTAGCCTCCTAAGTAGATGGGATTGTAGGCGCACGCCACCTGGCTACTTTCGTATTTTTTATAGAAATGAGGTCATATAAACTGCCAGACTAGTCTTGAACTCTTGGGCTCAAGCCATCCTCCTGCCTCAGCCTCCTGACTAGCTGGGACCCCAGGCACCCACCACCACTCCTGGCTAATTTTTGTATTTTTTGTAGAGATGGGGTCTCTGTACATTGCCCCTCTTGATGTTGAGGCTGATCTCAAACTCCTAGGCTCAAACAGTCTTCCACCTCAGCCTCCCAAAGTGCTGGGATTACAGGTATGAGCCACTATGCTGGGTTTAAAACTGTATTTCCCAATGATTATTTTCTCTGAGCCCCACCTGAGCGCACACACGTGACGTGCTCTCGGGAATCGGGGGCACAACCTCAAATATAATAAATATTTCCAACATCGCGTCCTTGGGGATACAGATGATTTTTGTTTTCTTCTTTATTTTTTCTATGTTTTTCTAAGTTTTCTCTAATGAGCATGCACTCCTGTAATAAACAGAAGACAAAAGGATTAAAACAATTTTTTTAATAGGAGAAATTTTTAAATTTCTTATTTACAAAAGGAAGATACCTTTTAAATTTTAGTTATTTTAAACATACAGAAAGGGATAACTTTCTAAACTTTGAGAGGACGGGGGAACTGCAAAGACGTTGATTTGACTACATTTGAACCCCAATAAAAGGAACACAGACTTAGGAAAGTATTTGCAGTAAGGATGACAGTGTGAGATCTTTGTTACATAAAGCTGACACAAAATGAGAATAAAGGCTGGGCATGGTGGCTCACGCCTGTAATCCCTGCACTTTGGGAAGCTGAGGCGGGTGGATCACAAGGTCAGGAGATTGAGACCACGGTGAAACCCCATCTCTACTAAAAATACAAAAAAAAAAAAAATTAGCTGGGCGTGGTGGCGGGCGCCTGTAGTCCCAGCTACTCAGGAGGCTGAGGCAGGAGAATGGCGTGAACCCGGGAGGCGGAACTTGCAGTGAGCTGAGATCGTGCCCCTGCACTCCAGCCTGGGGGACAGAGCGAGACTCCGTCTCAAAAAAAAAAAAAAGAGAATAAAAGCATTAAGAGTTGGGCTCGGTGGCCACGCCTGTAATCCCAGCACTCTGAGTCCACAACTGAGCAGCCTGCTCTGATGATGGAGGCTGAGGCAGGAGGCTCACGTGAGCCCAGGAGTTCAGGCTTCAGGGAGCTGTGACTGTACCACTGCACTCCAGCCCGGACAGCAGAGTGAGACCATGATTCCAAAAAACGAAAACCATTAACTCCCAAACAAACAGGCAAAATATCCAGATTTTATAAAAAAGAGAGTTAATACAACTAATGAGCAAATAGAGTGGGAACCATCCAGCCCTTCTAGTCATGAGGAAATATGAATTAAAGACTGGAGGGCCCCATTGTTTCCTTTATCCAGTTAAGTGAAATAAACAGCTTCTGCCCAGGGTGGCTGAGCTGGGAGTGCCAAGGTGCTTTTGGAAAGCCGTCGGATGGTGCGCATCTGGAATTGCCAGTATTTGGAAAACAGCGGGACATTGTGCATCTGGAATTGCCAACATCTTCACTCCTTTCATCCAGCAATCACATTCATGAGAATCTATCCTTCCTAAGGAAATAATTCTAATTATGGAAAAAGCTATGTACCCAAAAATAGGCATCGGGCATAATTTATAATTTAATAGCAGACATTGGAAGTGACCCCACTACCTCATACAAAGTTAAATACATAATGGTATTTCCATAGAAGAAATGCTCTGGCAACCATTAAACACAATTATCCTAAGCCTTTATAGCAGAATGGGAAGACAGGCGTGGTGTGATATGGAGGGAAAGTGAAGCCAGTGCAGAAGTGTCCGTGCTGCGAGCAGGAGCTCACCTGGGAAGGCAGACAGGTGGTCTGGGCGGAAGTGTCTGTGCTGTGAGCAGGAGCTCACCTGGGAAGGCAGACACGTGGTCTGGTGGAAGTGTCCGTGTTGCTAGCAGGAGCGTTCGTGCTGGGAGGGCGGACACATGGCCCAGGCGGAAGTGTCCGTGCTGTGAGCAGGAGCGCTGGTGCCGGGAAGGCAGACACGTGGCCCGGGCGGAAGTGTCCGTGCTGCTAGCAGGAGCGCTCCTGCCGGGAAGGCAGACACGTGGCCCCGGGCATCGGGTTTGAACACTCTTGACAGCAAGTGGCCCACCCCTCAGCGCGCCTCTTACCTCCCATCCCAGGAGGTGGACGTGACCTGTCGACATTCGGCTGTTTTCTTTCTGTATTTAAGCCAGAAACTCCGTCTTCTTTCTAGTTTAAGATGTAAAGAGGGTGAAACAGTCAGAAACTGGGTCAGAAGCAGCATGGTTCTCGTGGCAGGGCGGCACTTGGCCCGAGACTTCTGCCCTGGGAAGCTCAAGTCAGGCGTCCCAGCAGCTTCGAGGCAACCCCTCCTGCCTGGCTGTGTGAGGAGCCTCTCCAAGACACCAGCTGGTCCCACCGTGAGGCCTGAGCCAGGCCTGACTTTGAGCCAGAGCAGCGAGTACATCGCGTCTCCGTGTGGCAAGGGCAGGTGGGGGTCTCGGTCCACTACCGAGCAGCCTACTGTGATGACCGCCAGTGCCAGGGAGAAGGCTCACATCGCGGGGTCCCCAGCGACGGCTCAGGGTGACGCACAGACGCTTGGATAAGCCAGCGGATGCTCCCTCTACACTAGCCCTGGGCCAGAGCGCCTCCCTCTGTGGCCCCAACCCAGTCCCCACCCTGCCCTTCAGCTCCTGGACCTGCGGGCTGAGCCTGGCAGGAGATGCTACGGGGATCCTCGGGGCTGTCCTTGCCCTGTGATTCCTGGAGACTTACGGGGAGGTGGGGTGGCCCTACTGCGGCGGGGACCCGTTGGGGTGTAGGATGCACAGTGCAGGCGCCCACGCCTCGCACCCACTGGAGGGCAGCCGGGGTACAGGAGGTTGGCCCTGAGTGTGGACGGGGTGACGGCTGCAACGCTGAGGGGCAGATATTAAATAACTTCCTTCACTAGAACAATTTATTTTGGTTGTTATTTCAACTATTGCTTGACTTTAATTTTTCAAAAAATTTAGAGAAGTTTAAGAAAAATAGAAGGTTGCTTTGTTTTGTTTTTGAGACAGAGTTTTGCTCTTGTTTCCCAGGCTGGAGTGCAATAATGCGATCTCAGCTCACCACAACCTCCACCTCGCAGGTTCAAGCAGTTCTCCTGCCTCAGCCTCCCGAGCAGCTGGGATTACAGGCGCCCGCCACCACGCCCAGCTAATTTTGTATTTTTAGTAGAGATGGGGTTTTCTCCATGTTGGTCAGGCTGGTCTCGAACTCCTGACTTCAGGTGGTCCACTGTCTCAGCTTCCCAAAGTGCTGGGATTACAGGAGTGAACCACCGCGCCCAGGTTTGGTTTTTTGTTTTTGTTTTTGAGACAGAGTCTCACTTTGTCGCCCAGGCTGGAGTGCAGTGGTGTGATCTCGGCTCACTGCAACCTCCGCCTCCCAGGTTCAAGTGATTCTCCTGCCTCAGCCTCCCAAGTAGGTGGGACTACAGGTACACACCACCATGCTAGGGTAATTTTTGTATTTTTAGTGGAGATGGGGTTTCACCCTGTTGACCAGGCTGGTCTCAAACTCTGGAACTCAGGTGATCCTCCCTCCTTGGCCTCCCAAAGTGCTGGGATTATAGGCGTGAGCCACCATGCCTGGCCAAATAGAAGGTTTCCATATGGAAAAGCATGATTGCTGCTTTTCTGTGATAATCACCTCACTGATTCAGAAAGAGGAGGGGGGAGGTGGTGGCCAATAGTGTCCTCTCCCAGGTGGGAGCGCCCGTGCCTGGGCCTGTGCTGGACGGGGCCGCCTCCCGTCTCCCGAGGGCCATGCACAGGAGCCTGTGCTGTGTCTTGCAGGCCCTGCCCTAGGAGAAGCCCTGCCACACGTCATGCCCACGCTCAGGGCCTGTCTGCAGCCCTCCCGAGACCCGCAGATGCGCCTGAAGCTGTTCTCCACCCTGTCCACTGTGCTGCTCAGAGCCACGGACACCATCGATTCCCAGGGGTAGGTCTGGGCTCTGCCTCTGCACGGCCCCCATCTCCCTCCCCAACAGCTCGCTGAACAAGGGGGTTCCCACCTCCCTCCTCCACTGTGAGTCTAAGGTGGGCCGGAGTGTCCTAACTCCCTCCCCAACAGCTCTCTGGGCAAGGGGTTCCCCACACCCAGTCTAAGGTGGGCGTATGCAGTGACCCCTGAGCTTCACTGGCCCCGGAGCAGTCTGTCCATCCTCACTGGGTAAACACAGGCTCTCGGCAGGGAATGCACAGAGAAACACTAAGTCAAAGTCATCTCCGTGTGGCCATTAAAATTCCAGTGAATGAAAAAGTTTTAGGGAACATTAACTGTTAATAGCTTATGTATTAGCTGTCCTCTGTTTTAAAAGTCTTCAGGCACTTTTCAAACCTAACAAAGAATTGATTCAATTACTACTGATGGTCAAAGTGGTAGAAATACCTCTCTATTACCTAAAAGAACTTTTAGGTGACAGACACTGAGGGCCTAGGGCCTCCAGTTGTACGGCTTTGAAGTAAGGGCCAGAAACACGGGTGCCCCCCAGAAGCGCTGGGAGGGGCAGTGGAGGAAGAGGCCCCGCCCGGGTGCTGCTGCTGAGGCAGCTCTTAGAGCCCTGCCGCTTACTTTGTTATGAGCAAAATGTGCCAGCAGTTGGGTCCCACCCCCACCTGTGCAGCTGGATCTGGCTGCATCAGCACCAGGACCCGCCCCAGCAGCAAACGCGTCAAAGCGGAAAGCAGTTCACACACCGGAGCCTCACGTGGAAAGAATCCAGCGTTCAGACTTTCTCCTTCATGACCCTCATCTCTGCTCTCGGCCCTCAGCCCGCCCGTCGTACTGCAGGAAATATTGTTTCCTGCTTTTCTTCAAAAACTCAGGGTTTAGAACAGACCATAGAAAGATATGAACAGAGGCCGGGCGCGGTGGCTCAAGCCTGTAATCCCAGCACTTTGGGAGGCCGAGACGGGCGGATCACGAGGTCAGCAGATCGAGACCATCCTGGCTAACACGGTGAAACCCCGTCTCTACTAAAAATACAAAAAACTAGCCGGGCGAGGTGGCGGGCGCCTGTAGTCCCAGCTACTCCGGAGGCTGAGGCAGGAGAATGGCGCAAACCCGGGAGGCGGAGCTTGCAGTGAGCTGAGATCCGGCCACTGCACTCCAGCCCGGGCTACAGAGCAAGACTCCGTCTCAAAAAAAAAAAAAAAAAAAAAAAGATATGAACAGAGAGCCGTGACAGCCGTCCAGCTTGCAGGCTGATATTTGTGCAGATACCATGCAGATAACACAGCAGGGTCCAGGCCCTTCCCTCTGGAACTCACACCTGCCTGTATTTTGGGAGGAACCGTGGGGCAGGTTCTGCCCAGGAGCAGTTAACTGCGGAGCACAGCTTCCACATCCGGGCTGAGTTCCCAAAGAACGTGCACTAACAGCGTCTTGTGGAAGGCGGTTGGTGTCAGGAGAAGTAAAGTGTTGAGATGGCAGTGATTTTAGTAAACTCATTAGCTACTTTAATAGGCAGGAAAGATTTTTTTTAATCCGTTTGGTTTTTATTTTTTTGAGACGGAGTCTCGCTCTGTTGCCCAGGCTGGAGTGCAGTGGCACAATCTTGGCTCACTGCAAGCTCCGCCTCCCAGGTTCACGCCATTCTCCTGCCTCAGCCTCCCCAGTAGCTGGGACTACAGGCGCCCGCCATCACGCCCGGCTAATTTTTTATGTTTTTAGTAGAGAGGGGGTTTCACCGTGTTAGCCAGGATGGTCTCTATCTCCTGATCTCGTGATCCGCCTGTTTCCGCACCTGTGGCCCTCCCATCCTGCCTCTCTGAAGCCACAGCGACTGTCCTTGCTGGACGGAGGGTTATGTAGCTGGAGAGACAGCCTATTTCTGGGGGAGGGATGCAGACGGGAAGAGGCTCACTGGGTGCTGCCAACACCACCACGGCTGCCCTTGCCCAGGCGCCACTCAAGCCTTCTTCTGGAGCTAGGAGTGGGAGAGGCTAAAAGTGCACCCTCAGCTCAGGGCCTCTGGCTCTCTTTCTCTGGCCGCAGGAGAGGCCAGCTGCACGGGCACCGCTGTCTCCCGGGTGGGGTTGGGTCTGCAGGAACCTCCCACTTCACAATGAGCAGCAGCTCCTGAGAGGAGGAGGGGCCTCCTGTTTTGGGGTCGAGTTCGTTTTCCTGTTTGGCTCCCCCTCAGCCCCATTCATCCCCAGACTGAAACGTTCCTTCCGAGTGCCTGTCCAGCCTCCTCATCTGCCGTCTCTGCTCCGGTTCCAGGCAGTTTCCCAGCTACCTCGAGACAGTGACGAAGGACATCCTGGCCCCCAATCTGCAGTGGCACGCGGGGAGGACAGCCGCGGCCATCCGCACGGCTGCCGTGTCCTGCCTCTGGGCGCTCACCAGCAGCGAGGTCCTGTCGGCAAAGCAGGTACGGGGCTCCCTGCGTGCTCGGTGGACAGTGGCCGGGGTCTGCACGGGCTTCCCGGTGCCCGGCGGGACTCCCACAGCAGGAACGTGGGGAGGCAGCCACTGCACCTCCACCTGGGGCCTGTACCCCCGAAGGCTCTCCCCACACTGGCCGCAGCAGGGTGGGAGCCAGCAACGGGGCCGTGGTTCAGACAGCGGGTGAGAGAGCGGGAGCCTGGCCGTGGGCCCGGCCAGCCCCGTGTGCTGCGGGTTTCGCTGCCCTGGATGAGCGTGGGGTTTCTCGGGTTTGCGGCCCGACGCTGGCTACAAGACCAGGAGTCGAATCCCAGGATCCAGGCTAGAGGACAGGCCGGGACTTTCCACGTCTTTTCTGTGAACACTTCCCGCTGGGACCAGGCGTCAGAAAACAGACGCTGATGCCCGCCCGGTCCTGGCCACCGCCCAGCGGGAAGATGCTCCCCCTGTGCCCGCGTGACGTGAGCGCCACCTCCTGGTACACACAGGGTGGTGCGGTTGGTGCTCCAGCTGCAAGCCCCACATCAGTGGGGTCCAGTCGAGCCATTACCCTGGTGCAGGGTTAGTGCCTCACCCAGGAGTTGTAAACAGTGTACATGTTTTTTAAAAATCAAGTAAGCAAGTTAAAAATTGGTCAGAATCTAAATTTTACAATCAAGATTCAAGCGTACTTCTTAGGTAAAGCTTTCAAGCCCCATAAGTCCTTCCAGGCAGGAGTGCACGGATGGTGAGCCCCCCCAGGACAGATATGAGTCACGTCGTGTGTGTTTGCCGATTGCAGATACAGGACGTGCAGGAAACACTGATGCCTCAGGTCCTGACCACCCTGGAGGAGGATTCACAGATGACGCGACTGATTTCGTGCCGTATTATCAACACGTTCTTAAAAACCTCGGGCAGCATGACGGATCCAGAGAAACTCATCAAGATTTATCCTGGTAGGACATTTCTGTTGTTCACAGCCTATGTAGATACAGTCGGCCCTCCATATCCCTGGGTTCCGTTTGCATCCATGGAGTCAGCCAACCTCAGATCAAAAGTATCTGGGGCAGGGTGCAGTGGCTCACACCTGTAATTCCAGCACTTTAAGCAGGAGGATTGCTTGAGCCCAGGAATTTGAGAGCAGCCTGGGCAACATAGTGAGACCCCATCTCAACAAAAAATTTAAAAATTAGCCAGGACTGGTGGCACACACCTGTAGTCCCAGCTACTCGGGAGGCTGAGGCAGGAGGATCGCTTGAGCCCAGCCTGGGCAACAGACCAAGACCCTGTCTTTAAAAGTAGATATATGTGTGTGCGTGTGTGTGTATATATATAGAGAGAGAAAGAGATATATATGGCTATATATATACATGTTTGTACATTAACACGTACAAACACAAATTTGTATATATATTTGCATATATAAATATGTATGTATTGGGGGCAGAATTCCACAATTCCAAAAAGCAAAGCTTGAGTGTGTTGAGCACCGAGTACAACGTTGAACCCGCGTGAAGGAAGCGTCGCATGGACACTGCATTTGGCATTAAAACAACGTTGAACCCGCGTGAAGGACAGTGTGGGACATTGTATTTGGCATTAAACGTAATCTAGAGATGATTGAAGGTGTGCAGGAAGATGTATGTGGGTTGTGTGCAAATACTATGCCTTTTTTTTTTATCAGAGACTTGAGCATTTGAGGATTTTATCAGAGACTTGAGCATTTGAGGATTTTGGTATCCTGGAGGAAGTGGATTCTTGGAACCAAACTCCACAGATACCAAGGGACTACTGTATTTAAGTTTGACAGTGGTTTGTTTTATAGAAAAAAGTAGAAAATGTGGCTGGGCGTGGTGGCTCATGCCTGTAATCCCAGCACTTTGGGAGGCTGAGGCAGGCAGATCACGAGGTCAGGAGTTCGAAACCATCCTGGCCAAAATGGTGAAACCCCATCTCTACTAAAAATAAAATATTAGCTGAACGTGGTGGCGGGCGCCTGTAGTCCCAGCTACTTGGGAGGCTGAGGCAGGAGAATCACTTGAACTCAGGAGGCAGAGGTTGCAGTGAGCTGAGATTGCATCATTGCACTCCAGCCTGGGTGACAGAGCCAGACTCCATCTCAAAAAAAAAAAAAAAAAGTAGAAAATGCTTCTCTTTGACTTCTGTTCAAGTTGGTACTATGAGAACAAACAGCAATGACATGAAATACTACAAATTAAATGGCATAGCAAGAAGCAAGGCAGAGGTCTCCAAACCAGCACTGGGTGGGGGTGACAAGGCTCAGCTTCCACGTGGCCGGGAGTGGAGTCCTTAAGGGTTGCAGGGTCCCCCTAAGCAGTGCCCTCAGGGTGGGGTGGCTGGAGCTGCCTGTGGGAAGACGGGGCCGAGCCACCCTGCAGCCCGGTGGGGCCAGGGGCACAGCCTCAGTGTCACCGCCTCTTGGAGCCCAAACCCCAGACCAACCCCAGGCGAGAGTGAGCGCTGGGGAGGGGAATGGGGTGATCGACTCGAAGCTCCCGAAAAGCAGCAGCACTGAACAGAGTCATGAATTCAGAGAGCCCCTCACTCAGGGCAGCCTGCACACAAACCCCTCAGGACAGGGTCCCCACCACCCAGGCCATGGGCCAGTACCTGTCCGGGTCCTGTTAGGAACCAGGCTGCACAGCAGGAGGTGAGAAGTGGGCGAGTGAAGCTTCATCTGTGTTTACAGCTGCTCCCCATTGCGCACGTTACCACCTGAGCTCTGCCTCCCGTCAGATCAGCAGCGGCATCAGATTCTCATAGGAGCCCAAATCCTATTGTGAACTGTGCATGTGAGGGACTGAAGTTGACGATCCTTATGAAACTCTAATGCCTGATGATCTGTCACTGTTTCCCATCGTCCCCAGATGGGACAGTCTAGTTGCAAGAAAACAAGCTCAGGCTCCCACTGACTCTGCATGATGATGAGTTGTAGAATTATCTCATTATGTTACAATGTAGTCATCATAGAAATAACGTGTACAATAAACGTAACATACATGAATCATCCCGAAACCATCCCATCCCCGGTCCATGGAAAATTGACTTCCACAAAACCAGGCCCTGGTGCCAAAAAAGTTGGGGACCACTGCCTCAGAACACCGGAGACCCGGCCCTAAGGGCGGCCTCTCACCCAGCCTGGGAAGGAAGCACTAATAATAAAACCACCTCAAAGTTACCTTTTGTGAAGTGTGTTTAAGATCCTCAGAAAGCTGAAAGAGTAACATCCACTAAAAACAAGTTGAGAAACAAGACAAGCAGGAATAAAGAACAGACGGAAACGGGAACGATCACTGGGAAGTCCAGAGCAACAGGGATGGCGTGCTGGCGCTACTTTCAGGAAAGGAGTTACCCAGCGAGGGAGGAAGGGGGATGGGGTGGGCGGGAAGCAGCCACTCCGGCTTTCCTGATTATCTCTAGTTTGTGTGGTTATCTATACTTTGTGTATTTATGCCAGAAATGTTTAGCAGTTTTTAAAAGATGGTTCCTACTAATTCCTGGAAATGAACGGAGACATCAGAACTTCACACTCTGTGCTTTGGGTCAACTCTAGACTGAATGTGGCTGAAAACAGAGTTAGTGAAGCAAAAGCCAGGAATGTGGAGTTCCCTGGATTCACAGTACATACGGCGCTGGGCAGAAAAACTGCCTCCTGCTGAACTCTTGAGGTCCGGGTGCCTTTCTCACTCATTCTTTCACCTTTGCTTTTCTGTTTTTATTCTTGTAGTAATAAACATCCTGTTCCCGCTGACTCTGGAACAAGTTCAACCCATGCGATTTGTTGGGAGTTCACTCACTTTTTAAAACAGGAGCCAGCGGAAAGGCTGCACGCATTTGGGTGTCTGAGCGCGTTTGGGCGTCTGGGCCGCAGCCTCCTGTGTGGTTATTCTCACTACAAAAGGTTCCTTGAGAGGCTCCTTGCCCATTAGTGCCAGCTCTGGGCTTCCCAGGGTGGAGTGTTGGACAAATCATGGCCTCCTTGGCGGGGAAGGGAAGGATGTCCTGAGTTGGGAGCACAGGCAACCAGGCCTCCCAGAACAGGCAGACACAAACGCGAACAGCAGACAGGCCAGTGTGAGCCGATTCTGCCTGGCTTAGTCATGCATGAAAGGAACCCTAAACTGGTACAAAAGTGGACCTGCAGGCCGTCCAGGGAGTGATCATCATAAAAACACAATAGCCAATGCCACTCTGCAATTCCACAGTCGGCCGCGCCAGCAGGAGGCCTTGGAGGATCCTGTCCATGCCCATAGACGTTTGCTAGTGGGCCAACCTTGGGTAACTTGATCATCTGACTCCGTCCTTCCTCCTGAGACACGTGCAGTGAGGGCACCCACCATGCAGCAAGGACACCTGCCCTGCAGCTAGATCACTCGCTGTGCAATGAGATCACCCTCTGTGCAGCGAGGGCAGCCGCCGTGCAGTGAGCATACCCGCTGTGCAGGGCTGCTTCAGGGTTTGGCACCGTGATGCCTGGATGCTGTCCGCGGCTTCCTCCTTGGTGCCTGTGTTTGGTGGCCGGAAGGCCCAGCACCCTCCGCACCTTTCTCCTTGGTCCTGTGTTTGGTGGCTGGAAGGCCCAGCACCCTCAGGGCCCAGCACCCTCAGGGAAGCACCTGGGCATCTCCCAGGAGTTAACCCGCTGGGTCCCACTTGTCTCAAAGCCTGGCTTGGCGCGACGGCCTGAACTTTGGATGTTTTTCATGCCTTTCGTTACGCAGGAACCGCTTGCTGAGGGTGGATCATGCCCTCCACATTGCAAAAGCAGCAGAGACCCAGCCCACCCTCGTGTTTGCAGAGGGAAGATGGGCCGCGTGCCAGGCGCAGGCAGCCGCCCCTCCGGCGTCGGGAAGACGGGCCTCCAGATGGTTTTGCAACTCGGTCGTCTGCAAATCTCCAAATGATGCACAGAAGGGGGTGCCAGAGACTTTTTTAAGATGATGTGAAAAAAGCATAAATTTGATAAAAATTATATCCATTAATCTTATAAGTTTCTACCCATCAGGAAGGATCATCCTTCTCTTTTCAGCAGCAGAAAACTGACTACAGTAGGGGGTTGTCTGTCAGTGAGTCCTCAGCTCTGGTGGGAGGGCAGGGTCGGAGCTGGGGAGGGCGGCCAGCTCAGGGATCTGAGCATCTGGGAGCAGGAGGTGGAGGCCAGGTGAGCACACAGCTGCGGGGAGATGGAGGCCAGGTGAGCACACAGCTATAGCTACAGCGGGGCTTGGGTCTGCTGCGCCGACAGGGCAGGTTATTGTAGGGGCCACAGCAGGGCCTGGGCCACCTCCGCTCTGTTGGCTGGGGTTCAGGGGTCCCAGGGCCCCAGGAGCACCTTGCATGTGGCTCGAGATGCACGGAGTCTCCAGCGAGGTGTGGGTTTCCTAGGACCCCAGGGCAGGTGCCCCACGGGAGTGCGAACTAAACGCCTTTGTGGACGTTTAGACATGAAGTATCTGCTCTAGACTCACACACCTCACTCTCTCCTTCCAGAACTCTTAAAACGCCTAGACGATGTTTCTAACGACGTGAGGATGGCAGCCGCCTCCACCTTGGTCACCTGGCTGCAGTGTGTCAAGGGTGCTGACGGAAAGTCCTACTATCAGAGCAGTGTCCAGTACCTGTACCGAGAGCTGCTGGTTCACCTTGACGATCCAGAGAGGGCCATCCAGGATGCGATTTTAGGTGAGACTCCGACGGCTTGGCCTTCGTTCTGATGCCTGCTTTCAGCACCTGCCACGGGCCTCTGTAGCTGAGCCGTGTGACCGGCCACAGGGCCCTGGGGCACAGGGCCCTGGGGCACAGGAGGGGCCTCAGCTCCAGCCTGGTGCACACTTGAGTTCTTGGCAACCCCTGAGAGCAGCTGTCTTTGTGGTGATAGCCACTGACATTTCCTCTAACAGAAATCAAAATTGAAAGCATTCTAGAATATTTGTTAATTGTTTAAAATAAAGTAAGCGGCTGGGCGCGGTGGCTCAAGCCTGTAATCCCAGCACTTTGGGAGGCCGAGACGGGCGGATCACGAGGTCAGGAGATCGAGACCATCCTGGCGAACACGGTGAAACCCCGTCTCTACTAAAAAATACAAAAAACTAGCCGGGCGAGGCGGCGGGCGCCTGTAGTCCCAGCTACTCGGGAGGCTGAGGCAGGAGAATGGAGTAAACCCGGGGGGCGGAGCTTGCAGTGAGCTGAGATCCGGCCACTGCACTCCAGCCCGGGCGACAGAGCCAGACTCTGTCTCAAAAAAATAAAATAAAATAAAATAAAATAAAGTAAGCCCAGTATATATTGACACAGATGACTTGTGTTTTTGAAAAGTATTTTCCGAAACAAAATCATCTGCAAGAACAATTTTTGCAAATGTCTTAAACGTGTAGCTTGATGGAAGACAATGGACTTGCAGATCTTCCATACAGTCAGTCATGATGTGTATGGCTCTGGTTGAAATACGTGGAAAATAAGCTGACCTCGCCTGTGGCTTCAGGTGTAGTTGGACAAGAGAAGAGTATTTTAGTAGCCTTTTCAGATAGGCGTGGGCCTTATTCGATACCACGCCAACAGCGACATGGACTGCCCCTTGAAGGTCACTCACAGCGTGGGCCCTGAGGCCACAACCACAGAGCCTTCCATGCTCAGTGTGTTAAAATCTGCTGGTCTGTCTCGCACTTGAAATGTAATGATTTGCTTTTTTTTCTTTTTTTTTTCTTTTTTTTTGTTTTGTTTTTTGTTTTGTGGTGGTGAATATAATGACTTCGCTTTAACATAAAATTTGTATTTTTAATTTTTGTGGGTACACAATAGGTGTCTATAAGGCATGTGTGGTACTGTGATACAGGCATGCAGTGTGTGTAATCACATTGGGGAAATGGGGTCCCCATCACTTCAAACACCCTTTGTGTTACAAATAATTCAGTGATACTTTTCGTTATGTTCAAATGTGTGATAAATTATTGTTGACCATAGTCACGCTGTTGTGCTATCAAATACTAGCTCTTACTCATTCTGTTTTTGTACCCATTAACCATTCCCACCTCTCCCCCTGGCCCCATTACCCTTCCCAGCCTCTGGGAACCATCCTTCTGCTCTATCTCCATGAGTTCAATTACTTTTATTTTTAGCTCCCACAAATGAGAACGTGCGGAATTTGTCCTTCTATGCCTGACTTACTTCAGCTAACATAGCAACCTCCACTTCCCTCCGTGTTGTTCCAATGACTGGATCTCATTTCTTTTATGACTGAATAATATTCCACTGTGTGTGCGCCACATCGTCCTTCTCCGTTCTTCTGTCCGCGGACAGTCCGGTTGCTTCCAAACCTTGGCTGTGGGGAAGCGGGGCAGTCAGCATGCGCGTGCAGGTCTCCCTCTGCAGGCTGATTTCCTCTCTTTTGGGTATATGCCCAGGAGTGGGATTGCTGGGCCGTATGGGGCTCTATTTTTAGTTTTCTGAGGGCCCTCCAGACTGTTCTCCATAGCAGTACTAATTTACATTCCCACCAACAGCGCGAGAGGGTTCCCTTTCCTCCACATCCTCGCCAGGACTTGTTTCTGCCTGTCTTTTGGATAGAAGCCATGTTAACTGGGGTGAGAGGATGTCTCCCTGTAGTTTTTCTCCGCATTTCTCTGAGGAGCAGTGGTGTCGGGCACCTTTTCAGATGCCTGTTTGTCATTTCCATGCTAACCTGTGAGAAATGTCTATTCAGGTCTTTCACCCATTTTTAATTGGATTATTAGATTTTCTCCTGTTGAGCCTGAGCTCCTCATATATTCCAGTGATTAATCCTTGTGAGGCGGCAGTTCGCAGATGCGGTCTCCCATCCCGTACCCGCGGGCTGCCCCTTCACTCGCTCATTGTTGCCTTTGCTCTGAGGAAGCTTTGGGCCTGAGTGTGCTGGCTTTGCCTTTTGACCTCATTTGGGAAATACTACGTGGACCTTGCGGCTGCGTCCCATTTCCTGGTGTGGCTACGTCCTGTTACGCAATGTCGGATCTTCCTGGCGTGGCCACGTCCCGTTACGTGATGTCGGATCTTCCGGGCGTGGCTATGTCCTGTTACGCGATGTCGATCTTCCTGGCGTGGCCACGTCCCATTACGCGATGCCGGATCTTCCTGGTATGACCACTTCCCACTTCCTGGCGTGGCTACGTCCCCTTACGCAATGTCGGATCTTCCTGGCGTGGCCACGTCCCATTACGCGATGCCGGATCTTCCTGGTATGGCCGCTTCCCACTTCCTGGCGTGGCTACGTCCCCTTACGCAATGTCGGATCTTCCTGGCGTGGCCACGTCCCATTACGCGATGCCGGATCTTCCTGGTGTGGTCACTTCCCACTTCCTGGCGTGGCTACGTCCCCTTACGCAAACGCAATGTCGGATCTTCCTGGCGTGGCCACGTCTCATTACGCGATGCCGGTTCTTCCTGGTGTGGCCACTTTCCGTTTCCTGGCGTGGCTACGTCCCGTCAGGCATGGTCAGAAACTCGGACCATCATGGCGTGGCTACGTCCAGTCCTGCGGCCTCAGAAATTCGGATCTTCCTGACGTGACTGCGTCTTGGTATGCGACGTCAGAAACTCTCCTGAGTCGGCACCTGTCTCAGAAGAGTCCAGCCTTATGGCGGCAGGGACAAGCTTTGGATAATTCTGATTTTTTGTGTGAAAGCTTGACTTGTATCCTGGACCACAAACTCTGTCGGTTGTCGTGGCAGTGAGGGACTCACACCGTGCTCTGACCGATCCGTGTCCGCACAGCTAGCGTGGGTGCACTGCCCGTCCATCCGCCATTCTTCCTAGGAAAAGCAGCTCGGCTGCATGACCCTGGTCCTCAGTGTGAAGTGGGGCACCTGGTGCCCACTTGCGGGTGGAAATCGTGTGCGTGAGGGTGAGTGTGGCGGGGGGTGCAGGCCTCAGCTGCTCCCGCACCTGCACAGGTGTGAGTACGGTGACAGGCAGGCCGGGTGTGCTCTGCGTGTGACCACGAACCTGGCTTTGACTCACCCCCTGAAGGGTCCTGGGGACCCCGAGGGCCTTGGAGCACATGTTGGGAGTCCCTGCCTTGAGTCATGGAATCAGGTTGTCAACCAGTGAGGGAGCCCCAGAGCCCATGGACCCGTGGTGCGGGTCATGGAACGAAACTGCAAATTGGAGTCCGATTGGAAATTGTTTAAAAGGAGGACAGCAGCCCATGTGCAGGCCTCGCTGGGAGAGCCCGTCCTGCCAGATCCACCCCGCATTCCCAGATCCCCACACTCCCTGGCAAATCCCAGCACTGCTTACTCCCTCCCGGCTCTCCTGCCTTGCACTGTGCACCATCAGCCCGAGTTCTGAGCTTCCCCCACCCGCAGCCTCAGTCACTCACTTTCAGGATCTTGCTCTAGACCAAGAAGACCGGTGTGCCTGTGCACCAGCTCAGCCTGCAGCCCGGCCCTCTCACCTTCTCAGGACTGCGCAGGGCACCTCCCTTCCCCACTGCGTGGTCCAGGCCATTCTTTCTCCTGTCTTTAAAAAAACGAACCACAGATGCCCTGGACGCCACCCCCCATCTCCCCCACCGTGCATCCGCCTGGCACCAGACTCCCTGGAAGCAGCCCACGCTACCCCTCCTCGCAGCCCGGGGCCCGTGGCAGGCATCCGCAGCCATCCACCTGCCTGCACCTCTGAGCAGCGCCAGGCACAACTGGCGGCCACGCGCCCTCCGCTGCTGCGGGATGCTCCTGCTCAGCCTCCTGGTCTTTCCTTCGCCCATGTGGGCCTCCTCACTGCTCTTCTGCTGTGTCTGCACTGCTGCCTCAGAGCTCTTCTCCTGGCCTCCAGACCACGTTCCACGCCATCCTCCACACCACCCTGCCCTCAGCTCCACACATGAGTGCAGCTGCCTGGTGCCGAACCCTGGGCTGCTACCCCCCTCCCTGACTCTGCCTGCCAGTTCCCCCCACCCTCAGTGGCTCAGTGGCCATCTGTCCTCAAGACTGAAGGCAGAGACCTTGGGGTCCTGGACCCTCTCCTAGACTCTCAGCAGAATCTGATAGGCTCCCCACCCACTGCAGCAACCTCCCCATCCCCTTCCTGCCTCAGCTAGACATGCCCGACCCCTGCTGGCCTCACCCCTGCAGCTCCCACTGCCCCCATCACACACACCACCACGAGCCCCAACACATCTGCCTTCCTGGTTTTCATCATCGGCCACTGCTTCGCGATGAACCCTCCATAAGCGTGGGCTCACTTCCGGCTGTGTCCGTGGTGCCTGGCCCGTGGCAGGTTTGCAGTCACTGCAGCAGGTGAATTGGCATCAGCAAGTTGGATAAAAAAGTCATCTATTTTTCCGAGCCTGTTTATTTGCTCCTGCGAGACCTGTTTCTGAGGCCAAAAATGCCACCTGAAGACTCTGCAGGACATCATTTCATTTCATGGTCTACCAACAACTGTCAGGAGGCAATTTTAAGTTATTTGTATCCACGTTGTGACTGCCGTACACCCACCCAGCAGCATCAGGCTCCTCATATTCATGTAGTGACCGCCGTGCAGCGTCAGGTCACTTGTCTCCACGTCGTGACTCAGGTCATTCGTATCCATGTTATGACTGCTGTCCACTCGTCCAGAGTGTCAGGTCGCTCATATCCACGTTATGACTGCCATGCACGTGGCCAGCAGCATCAGGTTGCTCGTATCCACATTATGACTGCTGGGCACCCATCCAGCAGGATCAGGTCATTCGTATCCACATTGTGACTACTGTGTACCCACCCCACAATGTCAGGTCATTTGAAAATGCTTTTACGGATGCCTGGACTTTAATATGAAGCTGATTTGCACGAGAAGTAAGATTGGTTTCATGTTTATTTCTGGCATGTTCACAGTGTTTTGCTGTTTTACAGAGGTCCTCAAAGAGGGCAGTGAGCTGTTCCCAGATCTCCTGGTGAGGGAGACGGAAGCCGTCATCCACAAGCACCGCTCGGCCACCTACTGCGAGCAGCTCCTGCAGCATGTGCAGGCCGTGCCAGCCACGCAGTGACCACGCCAGCACGAGCCACAGCACACCCACATCCACACCTGAGCCGGAGTTTGTGGCCTTCAAATCGCAGAAACAAGGTACCTCTGTGCCAGCAGTGAGACTGTGACAGCAAGAACGTACTCCTCGGGACACCTGCCCGCTCTTCCCCTGGAATAACAGCTTCTGAGTGGATTCTGCATTTTATGTGATTTGTTCCGTTCAGCGAGCGGTCTCCCAAACGTCTACAGCTGATGTGAAATTAAAAGTAAATCACACTTGCTCATCATCTTAGTTTTTATGCCTCACATGTGCAGCTGGGTGCGTGGATCATCAGTTCCATCCTGCTTAGATGCCCACCAAGAAAGTTTTTACCTATTTAACAAAAAAGAAAAAAGCCAAAGTGATTATAAAGAAATGAAATCTCTTTTTGGGTTCTGTCTTCCGAAATTTAACATCTCCGTGAACAGACTAAAAGGAATTTGGAATCTTAACAACTTATCGAATTTCTCCTGTTTTAAATATACTGGGACTTTAAAGGTTATATATCCAGTCGCCGTATATTTTAAGTCAGTAATGCTGAAAGTGTTGAAAACAGAATATTTCATCAGATGTAATTTTGGTTGCCCCTATAGGTAGGAAGAAAGTAAAATCGTATTTCCCTCTCGCACATTCTACACCCAAGTGCCTAAAAGATCTCATTGCAAGTGGGTATTGTTACCGTAAGCCATTGTGTTCACACAAGGGGGAAATGCTGTATATATTTTTCAACAAATATTAACATTTATACTTTCATGTTTGAAAATTTAATTAAAAATATTTGTTATAATGATTGTGTATGCCTGACTTTGTGGGTTGGTAACTAACCGACATGTCAGGCAGGGATCCCAGCCTCTAGAATTCTAGGGTTCCTCTGAGGGATGTCCTAGTGCCCCCTCTGGACACCAGGGGGCAGGAGCTCCCAACACATTAAGGCAACACCCCGGTAAGGAGGGCCCCATAGGACTCACCTGGAGAGGGGCTGGGGCGTCAGGGTAGGGGCAGGCCAGCCTTGGGGGTGTCTGGGTAGGGGGAGGTCAACCTTGGGGAGTGTCTGGGTTGGTCGGGGGAGGTCAGCCTTGGGGATAGCTGGAGTGTCTGGGTTGGTCGGGGGAGGTCAGCCTTGGGGATAGCTGGAGTGTCTGGGTTGGTCGGGGGAGGTCAGCCTTGGGGATAGCTGGAGTGTCTGGGTTGGTCGGGGGAGGTCAGCCTTGGGGATAGCTGGAGTGTCTGGGTTGGTCGGGGGAGGTCAGCCTTGGGGATAGCTGGAGTGTCTGGGTTGGGAGGTCAGCCTTGGGGATAGCTGGAGTGTCTGGGTTGGTCGGGGGAGGTCAGCCTTGGGGATAGCTGGAGTGTCTGGGTTGGGAGGTCAGCCTTGGGGATAGCTGGAGTGTCTGGGTTGGGAGGTCAGCCTTGGGGATAGCTGGAGTGTCTGGGTTGGGAGGTCAGCCTTGGGGATAGCTGGAGTGTCTGGGTTGGGAGGTCAGCATGTGTGGCTGAGCCTGCCCCATGGACTCACATCCCTTCCCTAGACACCCTCGCTGCCCTCTGGTCCCCTTCAGAGTTGCGCCATCATGCCTGCTCCCTGCGCCAGCTTCTGTAACTGGTGGCCACAGGGATTCAGGGGCCCTCAGGGGTGGTCCTCCACCTCTCCCTTGTGTGCCCTTTGACCTCTGTGGCTCCTGCCATGTCCTTGAAGGGCCCTTGAGAGCCCCTGGGTTGGTGGTCCTCAGTGGCAAGGGAGCCAGTGGCAGCAGCCTCACCTGGAAGCTTGTTAGAAATGCACATTTCAGGGCCTCAGGCCAGACCTACTGAGGCAGAGATGGGTGGGCCGCCGTCGGCCCTGCAAGTGATTCTGAGGCTGCGGACTGGGAGGTCCCCCACCTGTGCACCATGCAGCTCCCATCCAGCTCCCATCCAGCACGAGCCTCCGTCATCTTTGTCACAAGAACCAGAAATGAATGGCAGGGAGCTTGCCCGAGAGGACACACATGTGAGGGGCCCCTCGACCCCTCGGACGCAGGTGCACCAGCCCCTGGGCCGTCCCTCGCCCTGCATGCTGGGACCACAGCATAGGAAGAGACATCAGCATTCGCCGATCCATCTCTACACATCTGTAAAGGGAGCTCCCAGGGACCTGGCACGTCCACAGGTGCGTGTGTTCAGAGAAAGATGGAAACCCAGCCTACAAGGGTTCACAGACACCCAAGAGGCGTTACGTCTCTCTCCACTTAATTCTTTGAAATTTTTATAGGCCGGGTGCGGTGGCTCACGTCTGTAAAATCCAGCACTTTAGGATGCTGAGTGGGGAGGATCACTTGAGCCCAGGAGTTCAAGACCAGCCTGGAGAACATAGGGAGACCCCGTCTATACCAAAAATTTTTTAAATGAGCCGGGCACGGTGGCTCAAGCCTGTAGTCCCAGCACTTTGGGAGGCCGAGATGGGTGGATCACGAGGTCAGGAGATCGAGACCATCCTGGCTAACATGGTGAAACCCCATCTCTACTAAAAAAAAATTACAAAAAACTAGCCGGGCGAGGTGGCGGGCACCTGTAGTCCCAGCTACTCAGGAGGCTGAGGCAGGAGAATGGCGTGAACCCGGGAGGCGGAGCTTGCAGTGAGCTGCGATCCGGCCACTGTACTCCAGCCTGGGCGACAGAAAAATCCATCTCAAAAAAAAAAAAAAAAAAATTTTAAATGAGCCGCGCGTGGTGGTGGCTCACGCCTGTAATCCTAGCACTTTGGGAGGCCAAGGGCAGATCTCTTGAGGCCAGAAATTCAAGACTAGACTGGGAAACACTAGGAAACCCAGTCTCTACAAAAAAATTTTAAAAATGAGTTGGGCATGGTGGTGCACACCTATAGTCTTAGCTACTCAGAAGTCTGAGATAGGAGAATCACCCGAGCCTGAGAAATCGAAGCCGTAGTGACCCAAGATTGCACCACTGCACTCTAGCCTGGGCAAGGGGAGTGAGACCTTGTCTCCAAAAAAAAATTTGTAAATCATAGAAATCATACATGAATGGATTAATACAATATGTACTTTTTTTTGTCTTGCTTCTTTCACTCAGCAGTTTTGAGGTCCATCCATGTTGTGGTGTCCATCAATAGTTCATTCCTTTTTGCTACTGCGTAATATTCCATTCTATAGATGAGCCACAGTGTGTTCACCCACTCAGTTGTCGACATGTGTTTGAGCTCTTTCCAGGTTTTGGCTATTACAAATAAAGCTGCTTCGAACATTTGTGTACACACGTCTTCGTATGGATAGGTACTTTCATTTCTCCTTAATAAACAGCTAGTAGAATAGCAGTCATGGTAGATGTATACTAAATTTTTAAGAAACTACCAATCTGTTTTCCAGAGTGGTAGCACAATTTCCACCAGCCCTGTGCAAGAATTCCAGTTCCTCTCGTATTTGCCAATACACTCGCTAATCAGTTTTTAATTTTAGCCATCTTAATAGGTATGTAGTTGTATCTCATTATGGTTATAATTTGCATTTCTCTAATGTCTAATGATGCTGAGCATCTTTGGTGAAGAGTCTTTTTAAATACTGACATGGTTTGGCTCAGTGTCCCCACCCAAGTCTCATGTTGAACTGTAATTCCCAGTGTTGGGGGAGGGACCTGGTGGGAGGTGATTGGATCATGGGGGTGGATTTCCCCCTTCTGTTCTCGTAATAGTGAGTTCTTATGAGATCTGGTTGTTTAAAAGTGTGTAGCACCTCCTCCTTTGTCCTCTCTCTCCTGTCGCCATGTGAAGATGTGCCTGCTTCCCCTTCACCTTCTGCCATGACTGGAAGTTTCCTGAGGCCTCCCCACCCATGCAGAATTGTGAGTCAATTAAACCTCTTTTCTTCATAAGCAAGCCAGTCTCAATTACTTCTTTATGGCAATGTGAGAATGGACTAATATAAATATCTTGCCCATTTAGACAAAACTGGGTTGTGTTCTTGCTGAATATTGAGCATTCTTCATATATTCTGGTACAAGTCCTTTATCTCATATCTATATATCTATCTATATATATGCTTTTCAAATATTTTCTCTCATTCTATAGCTTGTTTTTTCATTCTTTTAACAACATCTTTTGAAGAAGATAAGCTTTTTATTTTGAATGAAGTCTGATTTATCAATTTCTTTTTTAATGGATTGTGTTTTTGGTATTGTATCTAAGAAATCTTTGACTAACCCAAGGACACAAAGGCTTCAGTTCCTGAAGCTCAAAAAGTTGTTGTCGCCAGGCACGGTGGCTCTGCCTGTAATCCCAGCACGTTGGGAGGCCAAGGTCAGAGGGTCGCTTGAGTCCAGCTTGGGAATCATAAGGAGACCCTGTTTCTACAAGAAAAGAAAAAAAAAAAAAAAAAACAGGCATGTTGGTGCATACCTGTAATCCCAGCTAGTAGGAAGGCAGAGGTGGAGGATCTCCTGGGCCTGGGAGGTTGAGGCTGCAGTGAGCTATGATCACACCACTGCACTCCAACCTGGGCAATCGTGCAAGACCCTATCTCAAACAAACAAACAAAAAGCTGTTGTCATAGGCCAGGCACGGTGGCTCATGCCTGTAATCCCAGCACTTTGGGAAGCCGAGGCTGGTGGATCACTTGAGGTCAGGAGTTCAAGACCAGCCTGGCCAAGATAGTGAAACCACATCTATACTAAAAATACAAAAATTAGCCAGGCGTAGTGGTGGGCACCTGTATCACAGCTACTCAGTAAGCTGAGGTGAGAGAATTGCTTGAACCCAGGAGATGGATGTTACAGTGAGCTGAGATCACCCCACTACACTCCAGCCTGGGTAACAGAGTGAGACTCCATCTCAAAAAAATAAACAAATAAAAATAACTCATCTATTTGTTCTTACCTACACTGCGATTCAAAGGCAACTTCTACTTCCCTTTGTATTCTCCTTTCTGTGACCTAAACGAAGAGCTGAGGTTACTCGAGGGTGGGAGTTGGTTGGTTGAAGAAAAAACACTCACCTTTTTGTAGCCAAAGATAGCCTTCTATATCAGTATGGGATGACCACCAAAACACATCGTTAATTTTAAAAAACAAGGAGCACAGGCCAGGCATGGTGGCTCACGCCTGTAATCCCAGCACTTTGTGAAGCCAACGCAGGTGGATCACGAGGTCAGCAGTTCGAGACCAATCTGGCCAACATAGTGAAACCGTGTCTCTACTAAAAATACAAAAATCAGCTGGGTGTGGTGGTGCACACCTGTAATCCCAGCTACTTGGGAGGCTGAGGCAGGAGAATCGCTTGAACCCGGGAGGCAGAGGTTGTGGTAAGCTGAGATCTCACCACTGCATTCCAGCCTGGGTGATAAAGTGAGACTCCGTCAAAAAAAAAAAAAAAAAAACGAGCACAACCTTGTGAATCGAATTCCCCATCCGTAACAGGAAGCAGAAGGGAGCTGCCTATTTTGGTTATATGCATTAAAAAATTCTGGAGAGGACAAAAGAAACCAGTTAAACAGTGAGGCCTCTAGAGAATGGACCTGAGTGCCTTAGGGAGTGGAGTGGGAGTCCAGTGTTTACCTCTTGGTACCATGGAATTTACTCCTCTCAGTACCGTGGAATTTACTTTTAGTGCACGTATTTATTACCCAGTCAAAAACAACTCGGCTGAGACTAACCTGTAATCGAAGCCTCACTGACACCTGATACTGTTCTCAGCTCACAAGTCAGGACACTTGTTTCTTCTGTATCGTGAACCCCTGTCCCAGGGAAGGGTGTTCAGGATGTCAAAGCCAAAGCTTTATCAGAAAGTCGTCTTGGGCGGGG